TATTGAAAGTAGCCTTGCATTTGCTAGTAATAAAATTATCAAACTTAAAATGAATAAAATAATAAAAGTGACTGCAATTTATTAACTAAATAAACATAAATGTATTTACTTAAATTGTAAATGGCCAAATAACAACAATTTTTGGTAAGAGTAAGAGATCGTATTAAGTCAGCCAAAATTAGTATTATTTTTACTGGTCAAATAAACACAGGAAGCATGCAGAATCAAGAATGTGTGGTTTTCCTGTCCAGTTACAAATTCCCTTTTAATAAAATAAAATGTAAATCTAATTGCACATTAGACGAATATTTTAACTCCTTATATCCAATTTGAGGTCTTCAAGGTCTAGATGTGAAAATGGGAGGACTTCGTGGTAATTATAATATACAGTTTTCTGTATAAAGCCTAATAATTATTTCAGTCTTGTTATGATGGACTTCCAATAAGAATTGCAATACGTCTGGAGACATTTATAATTCCGATTTTACATGGAAGTGTTTGGGCTGTTTGTTTGCTTGTTAATTGTGGTCTTGTATCTGTTTGGATTCCATCTTAGCAAAAAATAAGTTGGAAATGCCTCACAGAGTACCGTGTGTTTATTAACTATATTACTGACTTTTGTATACTGAGTTAGAATAGTAAACTTTGAATTCAGGTAAATGCTTTAAAGGAACACCTTAGTGTTGGGAATATAAACATGTATTCCTAACAGTATTGTGCTGGAGTGTGCATGTTTAGGTAACCAGCCCCCGTCAGAATGGAGCTACAAGGCATTTAAACCTACCTTTTCTCCATTGCCACGCTGGTCTCACCGTGGCTGACCCCACCTCCATGGCTGAGATCATCATTCTTGATGATCTCACCCAAGCCAAAGCTTTCCCAGAGAATGTGGGTTCAAAGAGGGAGTAGATATAAAAAGGGTATCAGAGGGAAAAAAACACAAATCAGAATGCGGGGCTTGGCGGAGTGGTAGCTCACATGGAAGAATACATAAAAGCTTCCCCTTGCAGATGCGCTCCTTGCAAGGGTGAAAGCAGATTACATCTGTTGCCAGTGCGCACGCTGTTGTTAGACTTGATTTTTACACGGAATTAACATTAGGCAGCCAAACAGAGTTCCTAACTGCCTAAAACAGATATGCCAGGGGTGCAACTAATGCATGGAACAACATTTTTCTGTATGTGTAGAGTTTGAAGCTGCACATACAGATTTCTTACTCCATGACCACATCTAAAAGGAGAAGTTTTTATGTATCCCGGACCCCGGAGTAACCTTTTAAATTGACCACCTTTAACGTCTGCTTGTGTCCCCAAGACTATCCAGCCATATGTATACCTCCCAATTGTCAGTGGTGCCGGAATAATATCCCGACGTCATGTGACACCATCGTTGGTTAGCTCCTTTGTATACCAGCACAGTATGAGCATATCATTATATTCTCTCACTCTGCTTAACCCCTTAAGGACCAAACGTCTGGAATAAAAGGGAATCATGACATGTCACACATGTCATGTGTCCTTAAGGGGTTAAAGTAAAGCCAAAGCACTAAACCTGTGCTCATTACATTTCAGGATTACTGTGCATGGGATGGCCCAAGTGAGACTGCTTTGCGCACTGTTCAGGCAGACAAGCCCCTTTGCTAAGCAGACCACCTGCCCCTGATCGCTGGCTTCTGTTGACCCATCTGCTCTCTGGTCCAGATCCCATGCCTCCCATGTTTGTAGATATGCATATATGGTGGTTTTAAAAGGCTGTCTAATGCCCTTACTCTTTATCTGCACATTCATTAGAAAGACCAGACCTTTGCAAATGTCACACATATGTATCTCAAATTAATATTGCCACGAAGTGCTAATTAAATAAATAAAATGTGAGTAAATGTATTCTGTGCCATAGTTTAAGTAGTTTCATATCCATTGTTGTGCTACTGATGAGCGCCTATTGTGTTTGCTTGGTGTTTACAAAAATGCAGATCCTTGATGTGAGTTGTGATTTTCAAGCCACCCCTCCAAAGCAACCAAGATAAATTTGTCTCCAGTTGAACAATATATTTAGTTTTATACAAAATTCATGTTTCCTTTTTTCCTTTTGTGGTAGGGCTGGTTACAGTAGAATTGACTGAAAGGAAGACTTGCTTTTGGCGTCATCAAAAAGGATCCCCGGAAACATACCTTTCAACAATCGAAGCTATATATTTCTTCATGGTAGACTATCACACTCATATTCTAGAAGAGGATTATCAAGGAGAATACGATAATCTTCTCTTCTTCTTCACATTCATGTACAGACTAATCAAGGATGCCAAGCATTCGGCTGGAAAAATTTAATACAAGTCATTATGTTTCGTAAATGTGAAAAAAAAGTGAATAACAGTCTTCTCTAAGTTTGAGAAAATGTTTTACAATCCAGGTTAAAATTAATCATATTTGTTTACTAAACCATGAAAAAGTGTTGTTTTGTAAAAAAAAATAAAAAAATTGTTTAGACAAATAACTGTAAAGATCTACTCCTGATCAAATTACCCAAGGAGTTAGTAGAGCACAGACATTAATAAACCTGTCATGCAAATACAATTAAGGTCTCATTAATACAATGCTTAGCAGGGCTCCAAATGTCAAGTGCTACTGTACTAGACAGGTCCAAAAGTTGCTCATTACTGTAAGTCTGGAAGGTCCATGGCACACTTACCAGGGGTGAAATTTCACTCATCTATGAGCATGTGTAAATTTTAAGCCTTGCTTACAATATACTCAGATTTAAGGTGATACTTAATGCAGCCTATCCACTACAGCTTTCTGTAATGCTTATGGTGCCAGGAGTTCCTTGGTATCCCCTAAATTGTGAGGAATCTGCCATTTTTGAACGTTTTCTCTTCTTACCTCGATATCGCCTGGAGCCAGTATCCACCACCACTACCATCTCCCAAGATTTGGAGCTATCTCAACAGGAACTTATGTTAGCTTTCCTGACCTAAACACTACAAGGCAGGACTTGGCTCATTGGCTAAGAGGGTTGGCTGACATTTTTACGGTGCCTGGAATTGTCATCATGCAGTGCAGGTCTTTAATGTCAAGTGACGGCATAGACAATCGTGCAGTAGAGGTACCAACATGGATTTAACCCCTACTGGTACCAGGGAACCCCAGGTATCTTGTGACATCAGCAATTATGATTAAACTGCAGTGTAAATTGTGTAAGTTACCTTTTTGGACTTTCCAGTCACATGGACTCACGCGGGGGGAGAGGAGGAGTGACACCACCGACACCAACAGGGCCAGTGCACCCATAAGGCAGCACAAGTGGCCACCTGAGGGCGCACCGACCCAGGTGGTGCTAGATTGTAGTGACCAGCAGGAGGTGGGCGCAGAGCGCCCCTTCCTACCAATCACTCAGTCAGTGTAGCGTGGCTGAGCGGAGCAGTGTGTACCACGTTACAGAACCTTCTGTTTCCTGTACCCGGCTGGACTGAAAGGAAGTGCTCACTGAGAGAGCACTTCCTGTTAGTCTGGCCGTGTACAGGAAACGGAAGCTCCTGTACAGCGGTGTGCACTGCTCCGCTCAGCCACGCTACCCTGACAGAGTGATTGGCAGGAGGGAGTGCTGTGGGACAGGGGAGGTAAGAACAGTATGGGACAGGGGAATGGTGGGAGGAAAGAACACTATAGGACGGGGGGAGGAAAGAATACTATGGGACGGGAGGAAAGAGCACTATGGGACAGGGGGGGAAAGAACACTATGGGACAAGGGAGGGGGGAGAAAGAACATTATGGGACAGGGGAGAGGTGGGAGGAAAGAACATTATGGGACAGGGGAGAGGTGGGAGGAAAGAACATTATGGGACAGGGGAGAGGTGGGAGGAAAGAACATTATGGGACAGGGGAGAGGTGGGAGGAAAGAACATTATGGGACAGGGGAGAGGTGGGAGGAAAGAACATTATGGGACAGGGGAGGAGGTGGGAGGAAAATTTATTATGGGACAGGGGAGAGAGGTGGGAGGAAAGAACATTATAGGACAGGGGAGAGGTGGGAGGAGAAGGACATTATGGGACAGGGGGAGAGAGGTGGGAGGGAAAGGTTGTTATGGGACAGGGAAGGTGGGAGGAAAGGACATTTATGGGACAGGGGAGGAGGTGGGAGGAAAAACATTATGGGACAGAGGGAGTGGTGGGAGGAAAAGAGAACATTTATGGGACAGAGTGGTGGTGGGAGGAAGAGTACTATGGAATGAGGGAGGAAGAAACACTATCACTGACAGGGAAAAGAACACTATGGGGACGGGGGAGAAAAGAACATTATGGGGCCGGGGAGAAAAGAGGAACATTAAGGGGACACTAAGGTACAGGGGAGGAAGGAGAAAGGAACAGAGGTGGGGGGAGAGACACTAAGGAGGACATAGGGGGTTAGGGTGACACAGTGAGTTACATACGGGTGACACCAACCCTAGTGACACCACTGTCCCAGTCATCTGTCTAGAATGCCTTATTTTACTTATAACTCTTGAAACTGAAATTTTCCTGATTCCATTGGTGTCTTTTCATGAACATATACACAGTTTTTTGGGGTTTTGTTCTTTCAGCAACACTACTTCTACACGTATTATCAGTATATTTCAAGCACATTTTGTTCTCTTGGACACAATCTTCTTCCTTCTATATAGTACATTGTTTTCATGTCCATATGTTTTTTACTCTGTGATACCTGCACTAATCGATCAGGTAATACCTATTCGAGCAATGTTTATTTTATAATAACATTTATGTGCAAATATGTATGCTAGTTTATTTGATCAGACACTCCATTTGAAGTGCAGTGTATTTACATTTTGAAACAGCAGTCTTATCTGAAATCATTTTTGTATATAATGTCCTGATATGGAGAGCAAAAAATGGGTCGCAAGAGTATTCTGAGGACGGACAGCAGCTAAAATAGCCTGCCCTTCGGTGGGTCCCTGCTCAGAACTCAAGCTGCTTTTAGCTCATCTTGTGCCATTACAGAGAGAACATATCTGAAGCATATCAGACTGGTCCCACCCATACGGGCAGTCCAGATCCGAAATGCCAGCAAGTTCTCTCTGCACGAGAGATACAGTAACCCCAGACGATCGTTTCAGCCTTGTTAGGCATCGTCAGTGAGGCATAGCTGATATCTCTCTAGGCACCGTGAGCAAGGGGTCCACGTCTGGATTACCCTTTAAACTAATGGAGAGCAAAAAATGGGTCGCAAGAGTATTCTGAGGATGGACAGCAGCTAAAATAGCCTGCCCTTCGGTGGGTCCCCGCTCAGAACTAAAGCTGGTTTTAGCTCATCTTGTGCCATTACAGAGAGAACATATCTGAAGCATATCAGACTGGTCCCACCCATACGGGCAGTCCAGATCCGAAATGCCAGCAAGTTCTCTCTGCACGAGAGATACAGCAACCCCAGACGATCGTTTCAGCCTTGTTAGGCATCGTCAGTGAGGCATAGCTGATATCTCTGCTGGCAGGCTATTTTAGCTGCTGTCCGTTCTCAGGATACTCTTGCGACCAATTTTTTGCTCTCTAATGTCCTGATATGTCTCAATTCATCCTTCATCTGGATTTTTCTAAAAAAAAAAATATGGTTTATTTTATAGTATAACATGGATACTTCCCTATGTTAGCAAATAGAACTACTGAGCAAATGATGTTGCTGAAAAAAACATCTAGGAGGCCAGCGATAATGAAACATGTTTGTTATTTTTTATTGACGGTAAACAATTTACAGGAATTTACTTTGAAAGGTTGTAATAACAACTACTTGTAGTAGCACTTCTTGTAGAAACAATGCAACCATCCCTTTTCCCGCAATTTACCAATATGGGTCTTCTGGTGGATTTTCAGTGTGGAAGTCACCATCGTGGAACTGAGTGACATTACATAGTTACATAGCTGAAAAGAGACTTGCCTCCATCAAGTTCAGCCTTCCTCGCATTTGTTTTTTGCTGTTGATCCAAAAGAAGGCAAAAAAAAAAACAGTTTGAAGCACAATTTTGCAACAAGCTAGGAAAAAAATTCCTTCTTGACCCCAGAATGGCAATCAAATTTATCCTTGGATCAAGCAGTTATTACCCTACATTGAAAGATTATATCCTTGAATATTCTGTTTTTGCAAGTATGCATCTAGTAGCTGTTTGAACATCTGTATAGACTCTGATAAAACCACTTCTTCAGGCAGAGAATTCCACATCCTGATTGTTCTTGCAGTAAAAAAACCTTTCTTTTGCCTTAGACAAAATCTTCTTTCTTCCAGTCTAAACGCATGGCCTCGTGTCCTATGTAAAGTCCGGTTTGTGAATAGATTTCCACACAATGGTTTGTATTGGCCCCAAATATATTTGTATAATGTTATCATATCCCCTCTCAGGCGACATTTTTCTAAACTAAATAGGTTTAATTTTGTTAACCTTTCTTCATAGCCGATATGTTCCATTCCTTTTATTAATGTTGTAGCCCGCCTCTGCACTTTTTCTAGTGCCATAATATCCTTAATTACCCGTATATACTCGAGTATAAGCCGACCCGAATATAAGCCGAGGCACCTAATTTTACCACAAAAAACTGGGAAAACTCGAGTATAAGCCTAGGGTGGGAAATGCAGCAGCTACTGGTAAATTTCTAAATAAATTTAGATCCCAATAAAATTACATTAATTGAATATTTATTTACAGTGTGTGTATAGAATGAATGCAGAGTGTGTGTTTGTATATAATGAATGCAGAGTGTGTGTTTGTGTGTTGTGTGTGTATATAATGAATGCAGAGTGTGTGTTTGTGTGTGTATATAATGAATGCAGAGTGTGTGTTTGTGTGTGTATATATAATGAATGCAGTGTGTGTGTTTGTGTGTTGTGTGTAAACTGGGTGAGGGGAGGGCATTTTTATTTTTATTTTTTTATTTTAATATTATATTATTTTATTATATTATTTTAATAATATTTTATTATTATATTATTATTTTAATATTTGCATTATTTTTTTTAAATGTTTTTTTTTGTCCCCCTAATACTATTATATTATTTTAATAATATTAATTTATTATTATATTATTATTATTTTAATATTTGCATTAGTTTTTTTTTTAATGTTTTTTGTTCCTCCCCTGCTGTTGCCTGGCCAGGGAGGGGGAAAACATTTTAAAAATAATGCAAATATTAAAATAATAATATAATAATAATAAAATAATATTATTAAAATAATATAATATTAAAATAATAATATTACTATATTATTATTATTTTAATATTTGCATTATTTTTTTTTAAAGTTTTTTTGTCCCCCCTCCCTGGCCAGGCAACAAGCAGGGGACGACAAAAAAAAAACATTTTAAAAAAACTAATGCAAATATTAAAATAATAATAATATAATAATAAATTAATATTATTAAAATAATATAATAGTAAAATAATAATATTACTATATTAGTATTATTTTAATATTTGCATTATTTTTTTTAAATGTTTTTTTGTCCCCCCTCCCTGACCAGGCAACAAGCAGGGAGGGGGGGGACAAATTTTTTTTTTAAATAATAATGCAAATATTAAAATAATAATATAATAATAAAACAATATTATTATTTGAATATTATATTATTTGAATAATATTATTATTAAAATAAAATAATATTAAAATAATAATACTGAATACCTGGTGGTCCAGTGGCATTGGCTGTTCAGTGGGGGGGCTGGCAGTGAGCTGTTACTCACCTTCCTGTCAGCTCCCTTCTCCTCCGTGCAGCTCCTCTGTCAGCTCCGTTCTGTTTACAGTGTAAGTCTCGCGAGACACTTACACTGTAAGCAGAACGGAGCTGCACGGAGGAGAAGGGAGCTGCAGGAAGGTAAGTAACAGCTCACTGCCAGCCCCCAACAGGACCGCCGGGCTTGTAATAAGCCCGGCAGTCCTGGTCTGTATTATGGCAATATAAGTTGCCATAATACAGACCTTGACTCGAGTATAAGCCGAGTGGGGGGTTTTCAGCACAAAAAATGTGCCGAAAAACTCTGCTTATACTCAAGTATATACGGTAACATTTTTTAAAAAAAATCATTTATTGCTTAAAAACATATTTTTTTTTAACATGCATTATTTTTTGTTTCTCTATGTTTGTACATGAAGAAAAAGTAAGAACAAATGCAGTTCAATAAATCAGAGTACATTCAAAGAAGGATGCAACCAGTATATATATATATATATTACCATTCTATATTGAAAGGTGTTGTCACAACTTGAAGATTATGGATAATGGGGGATTAATAAAGGGATGGAAGAAAACAATATACACATACATATATGAGTATATATGTATGTACACACACATAATTAAGAGGAGGGTTCTCCTGGAGGAATAGGAATAAGGGAGGTCGGGATGCATAGGGTTGAGAGGTGAAAGGAAGCAGAAACCTAGAGCTATTCATAGGTCCATTTGAGCGAAATGAGTTGTTGCTGAAGGACGAGTGTAGAAAATAGGAAGGAGCATGTCTGTGCATGTGTCCAGGACTATGGGTTGAGGAGAAGGAGGGTTGCCCTGACACACATACATTAAAACAGTAACCCTCCCACACTGTTTCGGCTGTTACTATTTAGTTTATAGTTAACATATATTTCCAGTGGTTAACATATCTTGCTCCACACACACACACACAGATCTAGGCATTAGCTTATTGTACCCTATATATTCAGCCACACAGCAACATACATGTAACTCTCACTTGCTTTCTATGCTTACAAAATACAGCTACTGTTGCTTACTCATCGCTCTAAAAGTTTAGTATGAACCTGCTGGAGCACCAAGCATAGTTTACCCTTTTTATTACTGTTTGCATTGACCCATGCAATATCTGACCCTTGCATATATTACTACAAAAATGTGCATGTTCCTCAAATGTCACTTACTCCTTAAACATGTCTATTGATGCTTGCTCATGCTGATGCTGCATATTAAGTTTGCCTGTATTCTTTCCTATATGCACAACCAAAATAAAGAATTATAAAACAGTAAACCCCAAACCCTATGTTTCCAGCCCAGGGTAATTGCTGTCACACTTTGTATGTCAATGAAATTTGAACCTTTTAAGAGGGCTATCTAAGGCACATGTATACAAAAGATTGTAAAGAAGGTATGCCTGCTTCCTGTACCACTGTGGAGGAGGCAAAACTACGCTGTTGGATGTAGCAAAAGTAGTCAAATGTTGTATGGGAGAGATATCAGAGTATTCTATCAGTTTGTTGTCAATAAAGAGGTGCATTATTCTGTCCCTGTCTTCAAATCAGGCAAAAGTGTTTGAGTGTGAAGCCAGGCAAAAATAGATTGTTACGCAAGAGAGGCATTCCAGGTGATAAGAACTCCTCAGACATGACTGGTCTGAGTGGGAGAAGGCAATGAGGAGTAAGTATAATCTTGACGATGTTTCCACCTGACTGAAAACCTATTTATCTCTGATGTACGACCCCTTATTTACCCAATTTGTTATTAATTTTATGATAGCTATACAAATATATACGTCGTATGAAATTTTATTCACTTTTTCTTCCTTTTTCTACTTTAATTATTTCATATGATACTATGGATGTGCAATTTATTCATTATACCCCAGTTAAAATTTTTTAGGTTTTTCTTAATTTATGATCTTTATGTTGTTACTCATTGTATTAATAATGTAATTATAACAAAGATCCTTACTATTATGTCACTGCCCATATAACATACTGTTTAAATACTATTGATTGTTAGAAACGTTGGCAAAAATTTACTATTTGTATTATTATTATTTAAAAGAGGTGATAAGAAGATGAATGTTCATATTTGTTCTTTATGCAGTCCCATAAATCTAGAATTAATGATCGCTGGTGAAGGTGAAGTGGGTAGAGAGCAATGTTGTATAGGGTGCCACATGTATAGAGAGGGAAAGTCATTGTCAAAAATGTGGTGTTCCAAGTGGTGTCCCAAGTTGACCCATCTTTTCTGGACACGAAGAAGGTGCCATTGTTGGATAAGTGCAAGTTCGTTGGCTTGTTATTACTGCATAAAATTGGGTAATCCCAAACCTACCAACCCCCTTGTGACATATACCATGGTTCTATGTATACAGGGTTTTCTTCCCCTCCATATAAATGTATCTATTTCAAACTGTAGAATGTTTACGTCGACTTGGTTAATGGGAATAGGTAAAGTTTGAATAACATAGAAGAAGTTGGGAAGAAGGTTCATTTTGATAGCGGCAACACAGCCCAGCCAAGATATCCCCAAATTCCTCCACATTCAAAGGTACTCCCATGCTTTTTTCAAGAGGGGTATATAGTTTTTGTCGTATCACTTGCCCAGGTCTGATGGTATCTGTATACCTAAATACATGATGTGAGCAGTGTTTTCCCCCTTAGGTGTACTAGATTTGTATCAGTTACTTCTATTGGAAGTAGTTCCGATGTAGTCACGTTAGGTTTATACCCAGATACGGTGGAATATGTATTGTGTGGCTGGACCGTATCGCCTGCAGCAAAGGTATCAGGGATAGGCCAAAGAAGAGTGGTGATAAAGGGGATTCCTGTCTGGTACCATTGACAATTGGGAAGAATAGTGAAGGAATATTTGGAAGAAGCAGATTACCTTTGGGGGAAGCATATAATGTTGTGAGAAAGTTCAAAAAGTTAGGTGGAAAGCCAAAGCGTATAAGGACCATGAACAGGAAGGGTCACAGGAGTCGATCAAAAACTGTTTCAGCATCTAAAGAGAGCAATGCTAAAGGAATGTTTTTATGTTGTGCATTCCAAATGAGATCTTCACAGCTCTGCGTGTTATGGATTCGTTGCTGCTAGTAGCTTAATTTAACGCCTGTATATGCTGAGTTCAAGGCAAACACCGACATTCGCACTGGAAGTCAAGCACTGCCCCCTGCTTGAAGACAATTTTAAAAGCTTACGATACTGTAACCAATCAGATAAAACAGATCAGGAATACAATCATTCAATACGTTTGATTCTAATGCCATGCATAGCATCTTATGAGAAGGGTGTTCTGTTTCGATTTAGACCTTTTGACTAGACAGGGAACTGCACTATGATGAATTCAGTCACATGTTCATGGAATCACTTAAAATTATTATGTTAATTCTCTCATGATGTTCATATATCTTATGGCATTCAAACATTTATCAACATATACCATGAAAACACAGCTTCTAACACCGTCTGCACTGTTGGCACACATCTTGAACATATTTAGTTTTCTTTGTATTCAATTCCTACTGAAAAGGAACACACTGCCTCATTGATTATTCTAACTCGTCTAGATCATGGCAAACCATGAGTTTAATGGATCTTTCGGAACCAATCTTCCCTTGTATCAGTTACATACGTATAGCATGTCTGTCACTACACACAATTTGTGTCGGTCTCCGTTGTCTACTTTCATCCATTGAGCCATTTACACAACATGTTTCTGTTGGCTGGATGCTCTTTTGGTGGTGAACCATTCTTGATAAACGAGGAAGACTGTTGAGTGTTAAAACACAGATGCAAAGTTGTTCCTGGTAGCATTCCAGCTGTCACTGTATCAGTTAAAAAGTTCCCTTTAGCCCTTTTCTGTACTATGTCATTGCATGATATACTGTTTATAACTTTATTCATGTAGTATGTTTTTACACTAAAAATAATAAGTAATAATAATTTTAAAGATGAATATACTTATAAATAGTTTGTATGTGCTGTTATTCAGCTTCACAAAGGGGTTTATTCTTGAAACATCGCGTTGAACTGAGAAACAAACAAAATTTAGTCTAATACATCCAAGATGCAACGATATCGGAGTCTGACATTTTGTCCAAATCTGCTATTTTGGCCTAAATTTTGCAATTTGTTTTCCAGTTCACTTGATTTTAACAATCTGTGGATACACTGCTAAGTGTCTATGTTTCGTTATAATGAAAAATTTGACCGTACAATCCTGTAGAAGGAAAACATCCTGAATACTGGTATGTTATTAGTTTGTACACATATTCCAGAGAAAAGCCATTGGTAACAAAAAATGCACCGGGTGGAATAAGTATTTGTATTAGTATCCCTAATCCTACACCACTTATAGAACATGCTTGCAAGTGCCAGATGCAATTGCTTAGAAAGATATATGGCACTAAAAACACATTGTAAAAGGTATATGCTTAAATTGTATCACCTTTTGTATTGTTGAATGAAAGCGGTCAGAGAAATACACGCAAATCAATTTATAACCTTTTTGAAATGTGTTTTTCAGGATTTTTTTTTTTGTTGTTATTCTGTCTCTCACTGTTAAAATACACCCATCATTAAAATTATAGACTGATCATTTCTTTGTTAGTGGGCAAACATTCAAAATCAACAGGGGATAAAATACTTTTTTCCCTCACTGTACACTTTTTATATCGTTTTTTTCCCAAGAGTTGTCATTTTGAATAAAAAATAGTGTAGGACCCACCAATATTGAGGTACTGTGAAGTAGTGGTGGGCTTAACACAATATGGCCATATGGTTGAACAGAATCCCTATATTTATTTGCTAAGATATTTGATTTTAAGTAGCCTTGTTAAATATAAAGCTGTATTTTTGTTTTTGTGTGCGCTGTTCTTTTAACTGTATTTTGTATATGTTTTGGTTTTTACGGCAGCACCACTGCTTAACTCGTTTAGGACTGAGCCAAATGTACACATTTTGATAAAAAAAAATAAAGCGTAAACAAAACATGGAATTTGACTATATGTCTGTTCAACCGTAATTCACCTCTTTCATATTAAGTGCACCCACACTTATTATATATCTTTTTATTCAGGAGAAATGTGGCTTTAATTTAACTTCAAATATCTAGCTATGAAACATAATTTAATATGAATAAAATATTAAATGTGAGAAAGTAAGAATTTTTTTTTTTTTTAGTTCTGTATGACATTTTAACTGTAAATGTCACAATACTGTTTGCTTTTACTGCAATAAAATACACATATTTGTATTCAGCGATGTCTCACATGTAAAACAGTACCCCCTATGTACAGGTTTTATAGTGTTTTGGGAAGTTACGGGGTCAAATATAGCATTTTAAATTTTTCATTTTTTTTCACATTGAAATTCGCCAGATTGGTTACGTTGCCTTTGAGACCGTATGGTAGCCGAGGAATGAGAATTAACCCCATGATGGCATACCATTTGCAATAGTAGACAACCCAAGGTATTGCAAATGGGGTATGTCCAGTCTTTTTTAGTAGTCACAAACACTGGCCATAGTTAGCGTTAATATTTGTTTGTGTGTAAAAATTGCAATAAACCAATTTGAATGTGACTAAGTGGCTACTAAAAAAGACTAGACATACCCCATTTGCAATACCTTGGGTTCATGGGTGTCCATCGGGGGGGCACTTGCCGCCCCTGGATTTTTCAGCTTGTGCCGGTATATATCTTTTGAGATTGATAATACACTGCAATACCGGCGCCGATGTGTGTGGAGAGAGGCAGCGATAGGAAGCTACATATTATCCATGCTTCTCTCTCCTGACTAAATCCGCAGGGGAGCTGCACATGCTGCCAACAACTCCCAGACTGCACAGATTAGGTAAGTGAGGGATGGGGAGACAGCCTACAGATCAGGTAAGTGAGGTGTGGGGTGGCAGCCTACAGTTCAGGTAAGTAAGTCATTGGGTGAATAGCCTATAGATCAGGTACGTGAGGGATGGGGGGCATACAGGAAGAGTCTGCAAAAATCAGAGAGAGACAGAAGGAGCACAAAGGTAAATGAGCAGAATGTCACAGTTCTCACCACAACATCCGGGAATGGTCAACAGGGGATTTGAACCTAGGTACTTTGCAGTCATGGGCCTGTTGTTTCTCCTCTGAGCCACTATTCAGCCTGAAGTCTGATCTTGCCTTGTCTCCAGCACTAGGGGGTTGGACTTTTCCTGTGACTGCTCCTATCAATCATGGTCCAGCTGTGGTCACCCCAGAAGTGCCCAACAGGGGATTTGAACCTGGGTACTTTGTGATCCTGGGCCTGCTGTTTCTCCTCTGAGCCACTATTCAGCCTAAAGTCTGATCTTGCCTTGTCTCCAGCACTAAGGAGGTTGGACCTTTCCTGTGACTGCTCCTATCAATCGTGGTCCAGCTGTAAAGCATCACTGATTAGACAGGTATAAGACACTGCCTTTCCCTGAGGGCAGTGTCAGTTCATTGACTCTGTTCCTGCTGTCTGGTTCCTGTTTTTGTGTATCCAGATAATTTTGCTCCTGACCTTGGCTTATTCGCATTGTGTATCCTGACTTCTGGCTTACTCTGACCTTGGCTTTCTTACCGTGTATCCTGTCTTCTGGCATCCTCTAACTTTGGCTTACCCTCGACGATTCTCCTGCTTTTTTTTTTGTCAATATGTTTTTATTGAACATTTCGTTATTTATTTTAAATTTCTTCCGTTTGTTTTCAACATGGAAAAGAAAAACATGGACACGCAGGTCCCTTTGGTCATTTGTATATGCTTATACATTGTAGGGCATGGTCTGTCAGACGTGTCTTGGCAACTCGCAGGTTGCTTTCTTGAGTAAGTGGTGTGTGCATTGTGGACTCGCAGGTCCAGTAGTACATAGTTATGAATAGTACTCTGTTATATCTGATGTGTACCATTTCTACGTTGGGTAGTTTTGTATGTCACGCCGGTTTTCGTCTATTCCCCCATGCCCACCCTGTAGCCACTAGGCAGTAGTGAGACATGTGGGCCACCTAATGTGTAGGGTCCTATCAGAACACCCCTTGTGACCTTGTGTCTAGGGTCCAGAATGGCGGTATAGTGGGGTGTTGACCCCCCTACTTTGGTACAGTTCGGCTCTGCCCAGCATTATATGGTGTTGATGGGAATAACCTAAGGGGCATCCTGCGTTTCCTTCTAAACTAATTAACTTTGTAGCTCACGAAACTCATGCACTTCCACCCCCCGTACCCGCGAGGCCGTAGGCTGTTTTGGGTACTGCAGGTGGCCGCAGGTATCATAGCACACCCCCATGGGGTCGGCCCCCGCGCCGCTCCTCGGCCCCCAGAGCCCGCGCTCCACCCGGACCTGACAGGGGGTGAGGGGGCGGGGTAGGGTATGGGAGTGAGGTACTGTGTCTTGAGCCAGGTGTGGATCATCCCGTTCCTGGTGTCTCTTCCTGGGGGTCATCAGTTCCTCCCCCCATGGTCAAATGCACAGTCCGAAATGCCTCGGTACCCACCTGTGCCAGCCAGGGTGTCCATGTGTCTAAGTATGTCTGCGTTCGGTCTTGGGCTGAATACCAGATTTCCTCTGTTACTCGTAACTCCTCCATTCTAGTAAACCACAGGGAAAGCATTGGGGTTGTGTCTTTTTTCCAGTACAAAGGTATTAGGTGTTTTGCGACATTAAGAATTCGGATGGTCAGGGAGCGTTTGTATCGTGGTGTGGGGGTTGTCGTGTGGTGCAGGAGGTACGGGGCAAGCTGGAAGGGTGTGAACAGGGCCACTATGGCAGCTATTTTCTCCTAGAACGGTACTATGATTCTCCTGCTTTTGTCCTTACCTGTACTGCGACTTGGAGCAATATCCTGCACAGCCCCCCGTGCACAGACTCACAGGCCAGGTGAATTCTTATCTGACCACCTTGGCCTGTGTTTAATTGCAAGGGTGAGCATAAATCTCTGCCTACCGGACTCCCAACTAATATAAGCCCTGACTAAGAAAGAATCAGAAGGAGCACAAAGGCGCAAAAGAAGCAGAAAGTAGCAGAATGGTAAAGAATGGGAGCAGAAGAAGCCAAGGAGGAGAGAAGACTGTGTCAAATGAAGAAAAGGAGATTGGACCAAGAAGGACAAGTGAAGTGATCCCTCCACTTTATTCTGGACACCACACCATAAGGCTTTGGAACCTGGGCCTAGCAGGGAAACTTCGAACCTTTTCATCTCCCCAGGTAAAAATAAATCTCAGTGTTAATATGTCTTTTATTTACTGAGTGTCAGGAAGCACAAAGTACCGTTGGGTAGGGGTGTCGCTGATTGGCTAGAGGGGTCAGCTGGAACTCTAAGCCAATCAGTAGCTCCCCATTCATAAAAAAGTAAAACATTTTTATGAACCGGGAACTAGCGATTAGAGCATCATACCTGACGTCAATCTGCACTTCCTGACAGTCCGTTTCAGAAGCCAAATACCACTGAGCGACCTGGAGATCTGGAGCTGGAGGAAGTCTTTGGGGTTAAACCATTTGAGAGAGGTTTAACCCCTAAAGGAAAGAGAGCACCCAGGGGCCTCCTGGCATCATAGAATTTTCATTTAGATGAAGTTGTTATGATGACCAGAATGTTCCTTTAATTTGATTAAAGGAACACTATAGTTGTATTCCTGACACCATAGTTGTGAAAACGCTATTCACCCTGGCTTTATGTGATAATGACTATGCCCCTACCCTTTATGTCACTGTCAAAAAGGGGCCAAGCATGGATATCATTATAATTATACCCCCGCCCCCTGGAAAAATTCCTGCGGAAGCCCTACTTTTGCAAATGGTATGCCATCATGGGGGTAATTCTCGTTCCTGGACTACCATACGGTCTCAAAGCGAAGTAACCAATCTGGCGAATTTCAATGTGACAAAACTGAAACACAAGCCTTAGATTTGACTCTGTAACTATTGAAAACACCATAAAACCTGTACATGAGGGGTACTGTTATACTCTGGAGATTTCACACAAATATTAGTGTTTCAAAACCGTAAAACATATCACAACAATTATATCGTCAGTGTAAGTGCCATTTGTGTGTGAAAAATGCAAAAAAACTTCACTTTCACTGATATCATCGTTGTAATACATTTTACTGTTTTCAAACACTAATATCTGTGTTCAGCAAAGTCTCTCAAGTAAAACAGTACCCCCCATGTACAGGTTTTATGGTGTCTTGGAAAGTTACAGGGTTAAATATAGTGCAAGCAAATTAAATTCTCTGGACTTTCTGCCTGGGTTATCATGCAGGTCCCGCAAATTGTAATTAATAAAATTACCTAATTATGAATAATATTACATAAATATATATGTAGAATTAATATATATATATATATATATATATATATATATATATATATATAGTGATATATACATATATATTTATTATTTCGTTTTAAGTGTATTTTGATATTAATATATATTAATATCAAAATACAGTTAGAATGAAATTACACATATATATTTTTATTATTATTTATTTCATTTTTAACGTATTTATATAATAATTTTTTTATTTTATATATATATATATATTTACTATCATTCTACGTGTATTTTGATATTTATATATATATTATATTAACATACACTTAGACAGTGTATGTGTAAGTGTGTATATGTATGTGTATATATATTATTTAATTTTAAACTGTTTTAAAACTTTATTGAGCTTTATTTCAGGCAGCAGGGGGACTACCTGTCATTCACGGCACTCCCCCTGCTGGCACTGCTATGGACAGCTATTCCGTCCATGTGATCATGAGGTCCTCGCAAGGACCTAGCGATCACATGGCCTAGGAGGGCCGGCTCAGCAGCAAGGGGACTCCCTGGGATGCCAGGTAAGTCCCCCCCATTGTGATCGCTGGCGGAGGATCGTCAGCGAGCAGCTAAGTCCCATGGATGGCGTGGACGTGCCATGCCGCCTGTTAGCGTTTAGAGCCGGGTTAGCGTTTAGAGCACGCCCGCCGTCCTTAAGGGGTTAAAAAATGCATGTTCTGGGTGTGCCCCCAATTTAAATTTTTTCTGTGTAGATTTGGAATCCAGACCAGATTCCTATTGGACTCAGCACCTCCATCCACTATGGGTGCCCCTTTGAAAGTGACCACAGGAGAGCTTAAATTGAGGAGTCTCTTGAAACAGTTTCTACTGTAAGTTAGTATTGCAAGTTAGCATGTAAATCTCCCATTTTAAAATTAGTGTAGGACCCATCGATATTGGGGTACTGTGACGTAGTGGCGTGCGTAACACAACATGGCCATATGGTGGAACCAAATCCCTTTAGGTTAAAACCCCTTCAGCCACTTACCTGAATCCAGCGCCGATGTCCCACGGCGCTGGGTCAGGATCTGCCCATGCTCCTCCCCTGCCCCAATGCGCATGCAATTCGGAAATTCGGTAATTCGGACCCTAACTCCTAAACAATAACCCCTATCCATAACCTAGCCCACTTTGGAACTTCAGAACTTCAGTAATTCGGGAGTTCGATAATTCGGTTCGGTTCAGCTGTAAGTATCTGAATGTCCAAATTGCACGAAACTAATTGCACATGTCTAGTAAACATTGCTGTTCTCTGGAACTGCAATGTTTTACATTGCAGCACTAAGTGCAATAGGGACACAACACCCAGACTACTTCAATTAGTCTGGATGACTACAGTGTCCCTTTAACTCCTAAATGGCAGATAATTGAGCAGTGAAACTGCAGAAGTATGATCTATACACCTAAAGACTTCATTAGGCTACAGTTCTTTTAGTGCTAGAGTGTCCCATTAAAGAACAACTGCATAAAAGTGCCCTATTACCATCGAGAAGAAAATACAAAATAATTAAATGACTGATTTGTTTCAATTCTTGCTGTTTTAGCTTGCATTTATACAAGCTTGCATTTTGTAAGTGAATGATAATTTGCAAATATGCATCCTATTGGATGCATTCGGTTTAGAATTTTGTTAAAACTGGTGCTTTGTGAATATTCAAAATCTACTTTGTATAGTGCTTATATGCGAAAGCACTGATTTTAATACGGACACGAAATGCATCCTGCTGCAACTCCAGTCGGACCAACCAAATTCTGTTTAATGTTTGGCATTTCAACCATATTTTGTCATTCCTAAAGAGCCCTGTTCCAAGTCTGCCTATAGGGCCCACCACTTATTCACTTAGAGCTGCAGTTGGTGATGTAGTGTATGTTTGTAGGGGATGTAGTGTGTGTGGTTATGAGTATAGGGAATCCAGTGTGTGTACGGATGCAGTGTGCGTGTCAGGGAGGAAGTTAGTATAGCGGTTGCAGTGTGTGTGTAAGGAGTGCGGTGTGTGGGTATATAGTGGATGCAATGTGTGTGTAGTGGACAGAGTGTGTGTTTAAGGCATGCAGAGTGTGTATGTGGTGTATGCATTGTTTGTGTTTACAGTGGATGCATTGATTGTGTGGTGGAGGCTATGTTGCTTGGAGTGTCTCTTTAATGTTATTGTACATGTTTAAAATTGTTAATGCATTTAAAACAACTTTTTGCTCTAGATAGGAGATGAGTATTTTCCATGCCCGTACTAGTAACAGGTTCATTTTTAATATGGCGGGGGGAAAAAACTTTTAAAAAAAGTAATCTTTCTGATGTTCAGAGAAACTATAGGAAATTCGCATTTACTAAGAGGAAACATACATCAATAGAATGGGCAAATCAAATCCATGTGTAGATGTAACATGTCATTCCGAGGAAATGGGATAGATAGGGGACATCCTAGAGTTGATCACAGGAGACTAACAGGAATATGACTTACAGATAACAATAGAAACTAGTTTATGATAAACTGATGGATGGAAAACAGCACTCTTTCAAAACGAGTGTTTTTCATTTCCTAGTTAAAGGATCAATAAAGGTAAAACATGTGTGGCTCTCAGGCTTTGATTTGCAGATGTGAATTCTGTTTGCAGTAATTTATCACACCCACCACAACTTGCATTACATCTTACATCTGTATATTTTAGGAAGAATATACCTTATTTTGTTATACTGTATTGCAATACAATGTTAAACTCTGCCAACATAATTCTTGGAAAAAAATGTGACAAATTCAGCATAAACATAGATGTTTATAACAAATGGAAATTAACATTGCAATCATTATTTTAAAAAAATTGGATAAAATGAGTTTAGGTAAGAGAAGAAAAAAAAGGCCATGCGGGAGAAGGAAGGCTACATGTGGGGCACCAAAGGAGAGACCAGAGAAAGAGAACAGGAAAGAAATGTCAGAGGGATGGAACAATAGAAAAGACGAACAGGAAAGAAAAAAAGGGAATGTTAGGAGGAGGACAAAATTCAGGCATAAAGTCAGCACTAATGTGTAAAAAAGGATAGTAGAATGTATATTAATTTGGCGTTTTATTATTATTATTATTGGTTATTATTTATATAGTGCCAGCTTATTCCGCAGGGCTTTACAATAAGAAGGGAATTTACCAAATGAGACAATGACAAAATGTAACAGGAACAATAGGTAGTTGAGGACCTTGCTCAAACAAACTTACAGTCTAGAGGAGGTGGGGTATAAAAACACAATAGGAAGGATATTGACTTCTTAAAGGATTGAAGACTGGGGAGAATCTGACAGGGGTAGGCAGGCTGTTCCAAAGGAAAGGAGCAGCCCGTGAGAAGTCTAGCAGGTGTGAATTTGCAGTAAGGGTCAGAGCAGCAGACAGGAGAAGGTCACCAGTAGAGTGGA